CACTATGGGACTGCCATCCATAATTGCAAAGGGGGGGGGGCATTGAAATGTGCTCTGGAAAAAGCTCACTAGTTATGGATAACTTAAATATAACCTCCATCCCAAATGGGTGGTAACTACACCTTTAAATTTTCATCAATGCAAGTTAGTTTGTATTAATTTGTATTTACCTCCTGTATGACTCCACAGAAGGTTAGGACATTCTGGAGTGAGGTGGAAGAACTTCTTTTAAATCTATATCAGCCTTTATTACTCCAATGACTATTATCTAGGAGAAATCCTGTGAGGTTCTGAAAATAACTTTAACAGATTTAAAGCTTGTATTTTCCATTCTATTTATGAGCAAGTTTTTCATATGATATAGAAATCCTGTTACCCAAATTCAGCAAACCATCAAATAATGATGAAATTATTTTTACTAGTTTTTCCATGAAATATAAGAAATAAAAGCCTCAAACAGGTTTATCTGTTGCTCAACTAAGTTGCAAAAAAAGTTTAACACCCACTCTATCCTCTCCAAAAAAGAGAAGGGCAATTCCAGCCCAATTTCTGCCATAACTAAATCTGGGCTTATGACCAGGTTCAAACATGCAGGACATAAGAGTTAAGCAAGAATATTCTTTCTGCCACCCTAGGCTTAAGATAAATTGCCTTCCAGTTGAATTCACGTTTCATTATAATATCATGCAAAGGGATCCATTATTTATATATTTTAAAAGCTGCAGTAGTTTTGCAAATTGTTTTGCCTAGGTTAGAAATCAGGAAGGGCATCTTTAGTAACATAAGGACTTTTTTCCCTCCCTCAGGCTACAAATGATTAATATGGGGATTTGGGAACAAATGGGCAATTTTTATAAGCAAATAATTTGATCTTACAACCACTGACAAATGCATTTTACTACTGTAACCTAACAGATTCTTGTTGCAAAGTTAATTTTCGAGTTATATTAAGTTTGGGAGTGGGGATTTAGACTTGAACATTTTTATAATATAAGTTTCTATTTCAGCAATGTACTAGTCTGATTTAGAAAGATTTCTCACACTGATAAATGCATTTTTATATGAACCAGCATCATAGGTACTTGATTTCTTTGTCTAAATCTTATGCCACATTAACTTTCTATGTACAGAACTTTATTGTTGGCCCTTTAAAATATGGATTTTCTTTGGAAGTATATTTCTAAGAACCTGCTCCAAAGTTGTCTAGCCCTACTGTTATTAGAAACCACATCAAACCAAATGATGGATGGATCTCTACTAATGCATCTTGCATTTTGTTTTCAGCATCTGGAAGGAATAGAGTCAAACCAGATGTCTAATGATGCTCCAAAACATTGTATTGTACATTTATTACACAGACGAGTTAGGGGTTTTTCTCCCCAGCTAGTTCTGAATGGATCTCTTTACATTATACAGTGCTATTACTTGGCTACACTATTGCTTTTCTGCTACGCCTTTCATTAATCATTTTACAGTATTTAGCGGAACAAAGCAAATATACATGCATACGTTATGGGAACTAAACCACTGTCAAACCTATTTCTAAGCACCTTAGATATGCAGCCTATTACATGTTGCAGGACACTGTTATATGGCTTTCTAGAAGCATATCAGATGTTGAAGCTGAAATACATAGCAGTAATTTGGCCAAGAGAAGAAGTAATGATGATGCCATGACTAAGTGGAAAATTTCCTAAAAATCATTTTATATGTGTGCATATGTATGTGTGTTTTAACACTTGATCATTACACTGATTTTAGAGTCAACTAGTTGCACTGGCAAAGAACTCAAGAGAGATATCAACCCTCCTAAATACATTTGGGTGTCCATATGTGGGAGACTAAGCTAATAGAAAGCTTGAGGTTACAGAATCAACTGAACCATTTCAATCAGCAGATGAAGGATATTACCACTTTAAGTAGAAAATGTTGAGTAAAATTTACACCACTTTGAAGAATTTTTAATTTATAATACACAGAGGGACTCTCATTTTTTTGTGAGCCTCAGTTGCCCAGATCTTAAATTTGTGTATATTGTGTATAGACACATATTCATTTATTTATCACTATACATATCCTGCATTTCAGGATGACAATATTCCAAATGTCTTACAAGCAGTATAAACAAATGTATTTTTTTTAAAAAATGAAATAAATATTATTGGATAACAAACTGTTAAGATCCTTCCCACAGAACCATTGATCTTCTGTCCCTCTCTCTTCAAGGGGTCCTGAATCTGAATAGAAACACAGTCACTGTTGACTTGACCATCAAAGAATAATTGCAAATTTCAGAAAAATTCTGAAAAATGTTCTAGGGAAATATACTTAGTTCTTGGGGCCAAACTGCTGTCACTCCCTATAGAAGATGGCCATTATCTCCTTCATCAGCAGGTTGGAGAAGAAAATTGCTAAGAGGTAGCTAATGTCCTTCAGGGATAATATTAATTTCCTTATTAGTAACTCCCCATCACTTCCAAATTCCCCAGTCTTCCAGGAATCAGAAGATAACTTTTCACCAAATAATGAATATTACCTGAGTTACTTCACTCAGTCCTCTTACCATCACTATTTATTACAGAAATATTTTTTCTCGCTTTCCTAATAGTTCCTAGATATCTAGCCTAGTAAATATCTGATTGATTCCCACTTTGTTTGTATATTATTACATGAGCTATTTGATCATAACATCAAAGCTGTAAAATGTGGGCCAGAGGGCAGCTGTCATCGTTCTCAGAAGATGTACTCGCCATCTGTTGCCACAATTCAACTCAGATGAGAGTAGATGAGAAAAACTGAGGTGTGACTAAAGGGAACTATTGGCAAACAGTGGCTTGATCATAGAGAGAGAGGGTGAGAGTTCTGACACCACCTACAAAATCCTAAATATAAAATACCTGTGTTGAAAAGCCAGGTAATTTGGAGCTGCTGCTGCATAAAGTGTTTGGATAAACCAAATAACAGTAGAACACAAAATTCTTGAACACTACCAATCATTTCTGCATTTGCTCTTACTCTTTGCAGTCCAATGGGGAGTAGAAGCTCTCTTGTAAATGTACAAGAATTAGCAGTGAAATTAAACATGGGAAAGGAGACCAGAAAGAACAAATTAAGAAATCCTTAGAAAAATAAATCCTCTGTTGACTGATCTGATTCATTTTGAAGTTAGACTATATGACAAATTGAGAGAGTGCAGAGGCACATCGCAGATCTCAAGATAGCATTTCAATTTCTAGATCATATCTAATGTATAACTAGGTTTAACTTGCACTAATTAACTAATGTATAGTTGATGAACTAAAACAGCATAGTTTTAATCAGTGGTATTGTTTATTTGTTTTAGTTTTCATCTATGTATTAAGGAATGAATCTTAAAAATAATAAATATATACTTCTAACTGTGAATGCTAATTTTGTTTATTAAATTGCAAGATAACTGGCATGTGTCCTGATATCTCACAAAAGGCAGTTACATTCAGGTTTCAGCAGCATGAAAAAGTACTTAAGGCTATTAACTAATTTATTTGGATGAGTAAACATAATACTGACAATCATCATTATAATTAAGGTGGACTAATTGTTTCATCATATTTGGAACATAAACAGTGTAAATTTTCAAACAGTGGAATTTGAGTCATTTGAATATGTATGATTCGTGCACGTATGCACAACACATATGACTGGTTTAATATACAGTACTGATTCATTGAATCCACAGATACACTGTGGATTTCTTGTTCAATTTTGTGATAAGTTTCTGTTCAATAATATTTGCTATACCCTTTCAGGGTGAAAACCTGATAAAACAACATGTTCGCTTGATACGGTACATGTTTCTCTTTCACAGTTTTCATTCTTTCATTGTAGGAAGCCCCATATGTTATGTGGAAAAAAAACAGAGAATTGTTTGAAGGGAATGAGAAGTATGAAGGTTACTGTGTAGACCTGGCATCAGAAATTGCAAAGCATATTGGCATCAAGTACAAAATTGCTATTGTCCCTGATGGAAAATACGGAGCAAGGGATCCACAGACAAAAATCTGGAATGGGATGGTGGGAGAGCTTGTATATGGGGTAAGCATATCAATTTTTGATGCAGGTTTTAGCTTAAAATTATCAACAGTGCAGCTGTAATGTGGGATTATATACAGGATGAGCAAACTGTGGGCTGTTGCAGACCATTTATGGCCCACCATGCATTTCAGGTCACGTTCCTGAAATTTGACAACAAAATGGGTGATTTTCTGTGGTCTGTTTCTTGGGATTAAAAAAAAAAAGTTAAGTAAGAATGGAAATGACAGTGCAAGCTGGAAATGAAAGACTCCCATTATAATCCCAAAATTGACTCTGAAACAGGTTAAAATATGTTCCTCCTCCCTTCCAGTGATATCATCACACACTGGCAAGCCTGTTGAAAGCCATTGGCTGCATGGTAGAATGATTTTCAAACCTAACCCAGAAAAGGATAATAACTCCTGATACATCACACTGTGGTGATACATAATACTTAACACTTATGAAACATTAACATTCAATTGTGAATGTTCACAATTTTTGATAAATATTTGAAATATGAAAGATTAGGATATGAAAGGAAGGCAGATTACACACCAGTGCCTCTTTTGTAAACTGGGCATGTATGTTCAAGAAACGCTTGAGCTGGAGAGAAAATTGCATTTTTTGTACAGGAAGAGACATTAAAACAATTTCCCTTTGATGGGTCATTTGTCAGAACATTTGAACTAGTAACTGTAAAAATTCCCCTACAGTTCCCTTTTTTGTCACTTAGAGAAGATGGAAATGTATTTTGACTATACAAGTGAATTACTGGAGTATGAAAGTATTCATCAAAAAGTGCATTGGCCCTTAATGTTACAGAAGGAGATTGATGAGTTTACTATCACTGCCATGCCCACTCTGTCTCCAGCACATTTCCACTGCTGCTCAGCAGTAGAGGTTTTTCATGTAAAAGCTATTTCTTTCCCCAATATTTCCAAGTTAGGATTAGGAAGGACACAGTAGAGGTCAAAACACTAGCAGAAAACAGTAAAAGAAAATTCCCACTTCATTTTGAGAAGATATCTTTATCAGTTAAAATTATTCTGAATGCTTCTTGAGAAACTGCATGGAAGAACTTATCTTTTAGCTCACCTACCACATATAGCTGAAAAACAGACAGATTTACAGTATATGACAGTTTTTTTATGTCCTCCTTTTGATTTCTACAGGTTGTGTCCCGTTACCAAACTGCCAACCTTGTATTAAACTTTAGACTTGTTCTAGACATTAACTTTATTATTTATATGACAGTTCTTTTCTGCTATTTGAAAATTCCAAGCAGATCACCAAAGCTTCTGTCCATCAGCATAACTGAAGATAGGAATGGAAATGTTTCAGGGATTGACTGGTAGACTTAGTGAACTGTTTGGTTGTTTGGTTGTTTTTACACTTTTGAATTGGCCTATTTAGAAAAAAAATCCATAATATCTAAAACAGTCCTTCATCTATACTAAAGCATCAGAAGAGTATTATTTTTATTTAGTTTCATCAAAATAAATTTTCAGTTTAGATCTGCATATAGCACAAGCCAACACAGCTCAGAGGTATGCCCCATGGTTGAAAGATAACTTGCTCCTGGGCAAGATTGAGTAGACTTTTAATCTAATTCAAGTGGATTAAATAAATGTACCTAGGAAAGAGGAAGCTCTGTTGAAAACAGTGAGGCTTAGTTGGA